GGGGGGGGGGGGGGGGGGGGGGGGGGGGGGGGTTTCCCCCCTTTTTCCCAAAGGCCCCCCCCCCCCCCCCGAGGGCAGGACAAGAAGGATGGAAACCCATCAAGGAGAGAAAGCAGCCTGGAAGTGAGGAGGAGCTTTCCTGACAGTGAGGACAAGGGGAGTCAGTGGAAGAGCTTCCCTCCAGAGGTCACGTTTGCTCCGTCACTGGAGGCTCTTAAGGAGAGAACGGACGGCCATTTGTCCGGAATGGCACAGAAGGGCTTGGACTAGAAGACCTCCAAGGTCCTTTCGAACTCTGCTATTCTGTTACTCAGGGGGCTCTCGACTTATGGCCACAACGGAATGCAAAATTTATGTCGTTGTGAGACAGTTGTCAAGTGGATTTTGCTCCATTCCGGGACCTTCCTTGCCAGAGTTTTAAGTGAATCACTGTACTTGTTAAGCTAATCAGTTGGCTGTAAATCTGGCTTCCACGTTGACTCTACTCTTCAGGAGGTTGCAAAAGGGTCAAACGTGGCCCTGGGACACTGCAACCGTCGTAAGTATGAGCCAGTAGCCAAGCATGCACATTTTGATCACGTGACCACAGGCATGCTGCAAGTGTGAGGGGAAAAAATCGTACCACTTTTTTAGTGCTATTGTAACTTCAAATGGTCACTAAACAAATGGTCGTAAGTGGAGGACTACCTGCCTCAGAAGATAAATTATAAATACATAATTTATAATGGCAGAAAATTCTGCATTCTCTGCATTATGGACCGTGAGAAGAAGCATTTCCCATCATAAAATCCCCAGCCTCCCTTTTAAGAAGAAAAGGTCCCAGGCTTTCCCATTCCTGTGTTATTTTGCAGAGGGGCCCTTTGCCCGTCTTTTTCCCCAGCTCCAAAACAACCTTTTTGAGGCCTTTGGTGCTCGGGGCCCTCGACTTTGCTCAAGCAGGACACTGAAAGGTTTGACAGGCTAAACACATCAAAGCCATGTCAAGGGCTGCCTCGGCTGCCTCTTCCACACTCGCAGGGGAGAAGGGCCGGAGGAAGGAGCGCTGCCTAAGCCCTGGCCCAACCTCCACCAGGACAGGGGATTCGGCCTCTCCACATCCCCTGCGACTGTCGGTACTACTATGCACACGCCCGTCTGCCCGCTGCGTGAATGACACGCCTTCCGAGACGTGAAGAAAGCTCTGGAGTCTCTCACATCTTCTCCAGGATAGACTTTATCAAACCCTCAGAAGGTCTTCACCTGCTAGTCCTCCTCTCCCAATGGAAAGGGACAAGGACTCCTATTATTTTAAGACTGCCTTTCTTTGGAAGCAGCCAGGGACTCAGGGACTTTGCGTTTCCTGCAAATGCTCTTTGTGTTTCATCTGAAGTCCGTCAAGACATCCAGATCCACTCCCACACGTACTGCTGCTGCTCACAGTGCTCCTCCAACCAATCCTCAGGTCTAATTTTTCCTACCCAAATATAAGACTCTGCATTTGTCCCAGTCAGAACCCTTCTGGGGGCTTTTTAGGTGACGATCAGCACCATGAATCACACCTGGAATCCAGAAACTCCCCAAACTGCCCACACCACTGCATTCTGGATCACCCACAGCTTCTTCAAGGGCAGCCCCAAGTACACAATGCTACAGCAATCCACATTGGTTTGTGTGTGGTTTTATGTTTGTGTGTTGCGTGTGAGAGAGGGGCGGGGACGGAGACAGACAGACGGAGACAGACTCTGAGACTAAGGCGTAAGTCTTCATCAGCAAGGCTCCCTGGTCCAGGAATGATCATGCCTGAGGCCGCAACCTGTGCAAATGCCCCGTTACCACAACGGCCACCTGCTCTTTGGGCAGGAGAGGTGAATCCAGGAGGGCCCCAAATTGCGCCTCCGCTCTGACTTGCAGAAGGGCACCCCCAGGAAGAGTTAACGAGGGAAAACCACCAGAGCCAGGGTGCAGGAAGGCAGAGTCTGGGAGCAGAGTAAAAAGAGGGGATCAGCCTGGAGTCCCTACGTAGCCATAAGCAAATTCGGTCCAATCCCTTTTGAATGCCATCGGCCCGTAACTAACTCCAAGCAGGTGCTAACCTCTGCTTGGGGAGATTCCTGTGGTCTTTCGTGCCTGATGCAGAGGACCTTAAAATCCACTCAATGCTCGGCAGGATTTAACTAAGATCTTTCCCCACCCCTTCCTGACCTTCACGGCCACCAGGCACTGAGGAAGGAGCTCAATGGCATCACGTGGCTCCCCCTGGGTAGAGATGTACGACTGAGTCTCACTGGCACCCATGTCAAGAGACGACCTCACCCGGTGGCTTTCATACAGATGCTAAGCACAACTGGGCAGAGCCCAGAGGCAGCTCAGGAAGCAGAGGCCTTGTGCTGGATCGCCCCGACCGCAACTCTGACCGGGCGCAACCTTGCAGAAAGCCTAACCGCCATGATGCAACTCCTCCTCTCCCAACCCCCTAAGTTGGCCCAGGTGGGTGTGACGTTGGATGATACACCTCTCCCTCAATATAATGACGGATAGCACCGTCTCTTCAGGAAAACCCCCACAGGTGCACCGAAAGAGCCAGGCCTCCCTTGGCTTCTGGAAGACCATTTCCTTCAGGGCCCTGCTGCTTCAAAAGATGGGGCCTGCCACAGAAAAAGCCTGCCTCTAGTGGCAACGTTCCCCGGAGCTTGGAACCCCGAGCAGGTCTTCTTTACTGGATCTCACTGAATGAACAGATTTCACTCCAAGATATCCAGATCTTAATTCATGAAGAGCTTTGAAGATTTCAAGCAGAACAATAAGCACTCAGAAACCGACTGAAAGCTGGTGCCGTTCCTGAAGCGGTGATGTCACACGCCAAACCTAGCTGAGCCTGTTACTAATTGCACTGCCGCGTTGACGAGCAGCCAGAATTTCCAGATGGTCTTCAAGGGCAGCCCCACGTAGAGCGAATTGCGCCAATCCAAGCAAGAAGCATGATTAACCATCAATAACGCTTCCTGATCTAGGAACACCTTAACTGCTACCTAGGATGGAGATGTACAAACCCACTTCTGTCCACTTCTGGGATTCTCCTCAAAAGCCCATTTTTTAGGGTTTTTCTGAAGCTCATCTGGGGGCTGCTGTGATTTCAGGTTATCTTAAATGGGGAGGAAGATCTGCCCATCAGAACGAAGTTACAGAAATCCCCAACGCTTTCTCTGCACGACCAAGCACAGTATAAAGTGCCATGCCCCTGGGTGCCCAGTCATGCCCCGAGAGCTGGACAGTTGGGACAAGATGAGGTCATCCGCCCCTTTTAATTGAGTCATGTCAGCACAAACATTAAACTCCCCGAAGACAAGAAATGTAACGAAATCCACTGCCACACCACAGCTCACGTTGGCCTGCTCAGAAAGGAAACCTGTTGTGCAGAGAGGGAAGGCATTTCTGTGCTGAAATGGCAAACTCTCCAAATGAATAGGAGATGCTGTCCCTCCCGACGGCAGTCTTCCTTTCCTTCCTTCCCACCTTCCTTTGTTCCCTCCCTCTTTCCTTCCCACCTCCCACTACATCACAAACTGCCCCGTCCAGGCCAAGAGGGGTGGGAGAGGCCTCTCCCACCTCAGCCAGACCTAGGTAACACATGTTTTAAAAGCAAAACCTTTAAGAATCACTGCTGCTGGCATTCTCTGCACGTTCTCGGTGGAAAGGAAAGCCAGTCTTTTCCCCACCACAACCAGCCTCCCTTCCTGCCAGGGACTGCTCTCATGCCGACTCCCAGGCCAACTTCTGCTTCACAGCTTCACCTCATCTCCCTGATATACGCTACAACGTCAAGCCAAAGGGCTGTGAAAAAATGGCTTCTTCTCGGTCAAAGGCCAAACCTTTGAAGGTCCAGATGGCCCAGCCAATGGCGATCTCTCCTGCCCCAAAGCAGGGGTTCTTTTAGCCCCAGCCCTGACCCTCATCCTGCAAAGACAGAATAGTAACCAGACAACATTCAGCTGTTAAAGTCCCTCCAGAATAATCCAGCCTTTAATTAAAATCATCCTTCTGTGGCCCAGTCTAACACCTCAAGGGAGGCTGTTCTAGAATATTGGGGTCGTGATGAAAGGAGACAGCCTCCTTACTTCACCCCTCCCTCCCTCCCTTAGCTCACAAAAACCGTGGGATTATAAGGAGTTTCTCCTGGGATGCAGACAATGGATGATAGGTCAGTTCTGGTTAGAGAAGGTGGTTCTGAATACCTTGCTTCATGGCGAGCCCTACTTTTTGTCCAATGAATTCATTATTATGACTCAGCAACATGGTGCAGAGATGAATGTCAACCAGCGGTGAAGGCAGGAAGCAGTTTTACTGGGCTGGGGCAGGTGAGGCTCCTGAGGAAGGTTGCAGCTTTGCGCTGCACTGCAGCACCCCCCAACTTGTGTGTGGCACCCCTTGGGGCACCCCCACTCTTCCTCACCGGAGGCCCCACAATTCTTGGTTAAGGGCAGCTGGAAGGGCCAGGATTGCGGTCACATGATGTTAAGGAGAATCACTTAAGATTCCACAGTAAAAAGTTCAAAATGTAAGTACAGTGATGGAAATGGAAATTGGGAAAGTCGTCCTCCCCCCACCCCACTGCCCCAATTTTCTTAAGTGGTCATTTCGATAAGAATGACCTTCAAGTTTGCCCATCCTATTGAACCTTTCTCAACATCGTATCAAAATATGTTAAATACCTAACAAGTAGCAACACAATAATTCTTCCAATGGTAAGTAACAGTCTTGAAGTAACACCCATTTTAACAATATTTATTATTCCCCATAGATTCTCTGCCACACTTAACTATTTATTAATGTCAATATTAACCTGAAATTTACAATCTAAAATACTCAATCAAATTTTCAATGAATTATTTCAAAGTACTTAAAAGAATTCAAACAATACATAAGATTCCTTTCTTTATAAATCTCCACTGATTAAATAATTTATTAAATTTATATGCCAGCTGCTTCCATCCTCACCTGATCACCTTTAGCACTGTTGCTATCTGCCCCCTGGTGCCCTTTAGCACACGGATTGGAGGGTGGGAGCCCCTTTTTAGGTCTTTGGAAGATTCTCCTTGGTTTCCCACGCCTGTTTCTCCCTCCAGTGATAGAGGAGGGTTTACCTGACTGGTCTGTTAGCCAGCAGCAGGGGTGAATTGAAAGCACAGATCTCAGGGCCTTAACACACCACTTGGGTTTGACAAAGAGAATGTTTTACCTAATTCTAATGTCTTTCTCACTAGTCTGTGTTTTTAATTATTTTTTTAAATACATAGAAAAAATGAACAAAATCAAACCCCAAATGCTTCTTATTTAAGTAGCAACAGAAAGTACTTAAAAGTACAACATGGATAATTTGGGAAAACACAACTCAGTTTTTAATTTTAAGAAGCATCCAATTTTTTTTCTATAAAGACAATTGCAGAAACAGAACTTGTGGGGACAGCTTTCTTGGTAGGGCTGAAATACAAAGTCTCTGTATGATTAAAGGCTTTTGTTGCTGTATTTCAGTCAATGCTATTCCCCACACTTTTAAATGCTATCTATCCAAGAAAAGTTGTGCTGCAGTTTTCCAACCTTCTGCTATATTAAATCGGATTGCTAATAAACTGAATTTTCTCGGGTTGCCTCATTTCCTCCCTCTTTTGTGGTTAACAGAACATCTTTGCCCGCAGCGCTCAGTGGCTTCCCGTCCACAAGCCCAGCCTGTCAGACGCTGCTGCTGCTGCTGCTCCGGCCGGCCCAGAGCTGCTGGGGCTTCTTCAGGGGAATTGAGGGCGGCAGGGGAGCAGCTGGGGGTTTCGCCCAGTTAAACCGGCCCAAGCACGGTTGGGCAGCAGCTAGATGGGGATTAAGTAGCAGCCCTGTCGGGATCACTGGAAGCGCGCCTGCAAAGACGAGACGCCTGAAAACCGGGCTCCGCGCTTGGCCCCCTTGCTGGGTGGGCCGAGGCAGGGCGAGGGCAGGCACGGCTTTCCTGCTGATCTGAACGGCCCACTTCCGCCACCGTTTTTTCTGTTCTGCTCATCGCGAAAGGACCGAAACCTGCTCCGCCCTGAAGGCTCCGCCCGGAAAGGCCGCCCGGGGAGCCCCGGGAAGAACGTCGCGCGCCAAGCGGGAGAACCGGCGGCGGAGAGCTCGCTCAGACCTTCCGCCCATCATCCTCCCCTCCCCACCGGGCCCTTCCAGCCCACGGCGTCCCGCGAGGGCCCGGAGCCCCTCCGCCACCGGAGACCGAAGCTTCTTCCCCCGGGCCGGCGCCGGCGCACCGACGCCTTCCGGCTGCCGGGGAACCGCGGCCCAGCCCCCGCTCGGCGGCGAGAGATGCTCCGCGGCCTGGATGCTCGCGGCCCTCCCCGGGAGCTCTCGCGGCGATCGGGCGGCGACCGGCGCCTCTTCGTAGCAGCGGCCGCCGAGCGTCCCGGTGCGAAAGCCCAGCGCCGGAGGCCTTCCGGGCAGCGCCGCAGAGCGAGCGGAGCCTCCGGCACCCGGGAAGCGCAAGAGGCTCGACGCCGGCTCCTCTTCCCCGAAGCCCCAGCTGCCCGTTACTCGGAGAGACGCCTCCGCGGGCCCAGTCCGGAGCGTGAGGTGCCCGCCCAGCTCGCCCGCCCGCCCGGTCGCTCACCGCGCTTGCCCGGGCCGAAGGCGACCACCACGAAGTAGTCGGCGAGGCGCGCCATGCCGGAGAAGCTCCGCGGAGCCGCCGCCACCGCCGGAGGAGGAGGAGGAGGAGAAGGAGGCGGCGGCCGCCTTGCGGATCATCGCCGTCCAGGCGCCGCCACTGTCGCTCCCGCCGCCGCCCCTCCACCCCCGGCCTCCTCCAACGCCGCCGCCGCCGCCGCCATCTTGCCCGAGCGGCGGGAGGCCAGCCTGCCCAGAACGAGCGCAGGGCGCAGGCGCAGCTCCAGGATCCAGCCAATGGAGAGCAGGTCCGCGAAGAAAGCGCGGCCGGATTGGTGGCCGGCTGCAAGGGACTGCCCCTTCCCGTGTCCGCGCGGAGGTGGCGGGGGCCCTTCGCCGAGGCGCTTCCGCCCGCCCTCCGCGGCACGGGCCCTCCTCCCCAGGGGCGTTTCCGGCCCAGGCGCCGCCCCCTCCCTCCCCCCCCCACCGGAGCTCCCTGCCGGTGTTGCGGGGCGGGAGGGGCGATTTGCGCGGCGCCGCTCCGTCCTCCCCAAGGAGAGGAGCGGGGCCCTCGATTGCCGGGCTGCTTTCCTGCGCTGCCTGGTGGGGTCGGGCGAGGCTGCTCCCCGGAGGCCTCCGGTGCCTGGCCCAGGAGGAGCCCGAAGCCGCCCGCCTCCTCTTCGGCGCCCTTTTGCCACCGGCCCTCCGCCCGGGAAGGAACCCCGGAGCTGGAGCAGGATCCCTTGGAGGAAGAGAGCGAAGAGCGGCTGTGGAACATGGGTCCCGGAGTGGGAAGCTTCCCGGGAGTGAGGACCATGAGCCTCCAGAAGCTGTGGGGGCTCCACCCCTGGAGGGGCTGGACGGCCGCCTGCCCGGAGTGGTCCTGGGGTCTCCTGCTGGAGCGAGGGGGGGAGGGTTGGGCTAGAAGACCTCCAGGGTCCCTTCCAGCTCTATCCTGAATTGGAGAATTGGATCCTGTTGCAGCCCTGCGGGAAAGGGGTGCAAAAGCCCTGGGCACCGGCTGCTCTTTCATAATAGGAGCCACAACCGTGCCGATACCTATTTGTGCAGCATCACAAGCTGACTTTTCTGGTAAGGGGGGGTTTCAACGTGGGCACCAAATCTAGCAACGTTTTCATGGCTTCTGTGAAAGCTCCTAATACTGTTTTGTCCGGTAATGCCACTTCTCGGGTTTGAGGAATTGTAGCCTTCCTGGTTATTACATTTTACAGCATCCCTTCTCTCTAGCCTTTTAAACTGTATTATCAACGGCGTTTGTTGAGTAGCTAGCTCAGAGATGCTGCTGAAATTCATGGTGAAAAATAGCTGATAGCCCGTGGAGTCCACAGGGGAAGGGGAGGGTCAGGTTAACAAAAGCAGCCTCGTGGCATCACGTAGCGGGTCCTTTTTGTTGGGGCCTCCTCTGGATCCTGGTGGGTTACCTCCGGAGACCACCTGCTGGGAGGCTGTGGGCAATAGACCGGGCCACTGAGAGAGCGGAGGGATGGACTGGACAGGCTGGGAGCCTGATCCAGCAGGGCGCTGCTTGTGTTTTTATGTCTCATTCACATATATAACCACAGGTGGAGTTTCCTTCTGATGAACGCAACAAGATCTTGCAGATGCTGCTGAAAAGAACCATGGTTGCCAATCTCTTCACTTCTTTGGGCTGCTGTATAAGAGTTTCAGGTTTGCCATCCACTTCCATTTTCGTTATCAAATTCCTCCCTTAGCAGCTGGTGATTGGAACTGCTGGCTACAAGGGGGGGGGGGGTCAGAGAGACAAAGAGGACTAAGGTAGTGGTCCTTTAACTCCATTTCATTTGAACTTCCCTGAGGCTGGTGATTGGAGCTGCTGGCTACAAAGGGGGAGTCAGAAAGACAAAAAGGAATAGGGTAGTGGCCCTTTAACTCTCAGAACCACTGAACTATATCTTTCAGAGATCCTGGAACAGAGGGGAACTGCCAGAGG